GTTCTCTAATCAAGTTTAACGTGTATCTTTTGATCCAGGAATAAACAACAAGAAATGGTTTTGGCTGACATGTATATTGAGCCTGGTAAAGTTTGGGAATATTGTCCGCGAGAAGCATTGCGCCGAGTCTCTAAAGTTTTAAAAGATGAATTTGACTTGGTATGTTTAATATTCTTTTGTGCAACATCAAAATAATCATATTTATCTAATTTATATCTACATGTTCAGGTGGTGAATGCAGGCTTTGAAAATGAATTTTATCTTTTGAAGAGTATATTGAGGTATGTCAGTCAAGTTTTCCCATAATATTGTGTCTTAGAGTTTCTTTTGTACTATTGTGAGTTACGTCAGTTGAGTTTTCTGTAATAGTTGGATGTTGGATTTTCTCTTCCATGATATGTGATATGTGTGATTGGAGATTCTGGTCTGTAATGTGTTAGCGTAAACATAGAAAGATATTATACAGGAATGGCAAAGAAGAATGGACACCATTTGACAGGACTTCTTACTGTTCTACATCATCATTTGATGCCGCATCCCCGATACTTGAAGAGGTTTTCGCTTCTCTTCAATCATTGAATATTGCAGTCGAACAAGTAAGTCTCCGTTATTTTGACTTAAATTTGATCTTCCTACATTGTTTTGAAAATTTATTCCTAATTGCAAGATTTGACTTGCATATTTGATCTTCCTACATTGTTTTGAAGATGTATTCCTATATAACTTGCAAAAGAACAATTAATGTAGTTTATATTGTAAGAATGCAATGCCATGACACCATACTATCTATAGCTATAGAACTATAAGAGAACATTCCTGCAATATAAACTACATTATTTTTTATTTCCCCTAAAAGTAAGACTGATATACAAAATATATTTCATTGTACTATTTCCCAATTCAACTAAGACTTCCTCTCTGATGTTGTCTCCTTTAAATATACAGCTACATGCAGAAGCTGGGAAAGGTCAGTTTGAAATTGCTCTAAAATACACAGATTGTTTTAGAGCAGCTGACAGCTTAATTTTCGCACGTGAAGTCATCAAAGCAGTTGCAAGGAAACATGGGTTGCTGGCAACTTTTGTGCCAAAGTAGGTAGCACAATGTGCCCACATTGCTTTTAGGTGCTCTTTTTATTTGAGTTCTTGATGTGGATTTGCTTTTTGCTTTTCTTTAAAGTGCTATGGAAATGGTATTTTAGTTCCGCTTTCTATATCTTCGTTTACAAGGTTGAAGCTCCATGTATGAAATTTATGACAGAAACATAGTGAGATGCATAACACATTTTCCATATGCTCACAGTATTTCATACTTTGATGCCTGCGTAATTGCAATGTTGATATGTCAAGGCTCAAGTTTTAATTGTTTTTTATTTACCTTATTGGCTTGACCAAAATGTGTAGTTAGTGTAATCTCGTTAATCAAGTCTGGTATTGAATGAGAAACCGTTACCATAGCCATGCTTGTTGCTTTTAAGATTAAAAAACATTTTTGTGATCTTTCCTTCTGTTGGCTTCGGAACACCTCTTCTTCTCATATTCTCTAGTAACTAACATGAAACTAGTCATCTATAGTGCATAATTTCATGCCATTCAATCTTTACTAACACTTGGACAATCCTATTTTATCTTCATCGTTGTTCTTGCCTATTATGTGCTTTCCTTTATCCACCTTAATTATTTCCATTTGAACTCTACTAACAACTACATCCTTCTTGGTTATAAGGAAAAAATGGAACTCTTTTCTTCTCCCCTCTGAACCCCTCAATTCGAGATTGAGAGATACTCGCAAGAGGAAGAATCTTATCTATATTGGAAAATGGAAAAATAACACATGCTCTCCGTTGCACATTTCTCTACCTGTAGATAGAAAATTAAAATTTTATATGTTATTACGGGAGAGAGTTGAAGGGGAGTCTTGGCATAACAACAGTAAAAGTAGCTTTCTGTAAGGTTGCATATGTAAGACCCAATGTTGTCCAGCTTCTCCTCAGACCTGGCATAGCAGGAGCTTAGTACACTGGGCTGCCTTTTTATTGTTGATGAGGTTTCATAATGTTTAATGCAAGTGATAATTTGTTCCTCTGAAGTAGTTGACATAAACGAACAAATGATATTACTTTTGCATTATTTTTTGATGTAGTTCTCTGACTTCTGGAGACTTCTGTCAGGACTCTAATTTCCATAACTTCTACTGCATGAAGTATTGCAAGGGAGACCTCTCAGTTTGTTACCTTGTGGCCCTTTTTTTTCTAGGTATGCATTAGATGATATTGGTTCCGGATCACATGTGCACGTCAGTTTATCAAAGAATGGAGAAAATGTATTTATGACGTCTGGTGAACCAAGTCGGTATGGGATGTCAAAGATTGGGGAAGCATTCATGGCTGGGGTGTTAAATCACCTTCCTGCCATATTGCCATTTACTGCACCACTCCCTAATAGGTTAGAGATTTTCTACTATTTTGAATGTCCCGCTTCCTTTATATCTATTGGTGTTCAGTTTTATGCTTTTATCTAGAGGGCTCTACATTGCTTCCTGTTCCTTCTCTCTTTTTTCACTATCAGAATAAGCTATGTTGTTCGGACTCTTCAAAAATGTTGACGAGTGCATTTAGGATCCTCCAAAAGTAGTTATTGTTTGAGGATCCGACACGGGTGCGACATCATTTGGAATATCCGAGCAACATAGAGAATAAGTGGAGAATTTGTAATTATATAACCTCACTCTGAAATAACAATATTTTCACTACTTGATTTATTTTTGGTTCATGACAACCTCGACACTGAGGGCATCCCTGAATGGCTGAACAACCTCGACGCTGAGGGCGTCCCCGACCCCAAGAGAGAAAACTAGCCATTCAGCCCGTATACATCAAACCTTAAAAAGTAGATTATATCTCAAATTTTTGGTGTTCTAAACTTAATTGCGGAAACAACATTTCCTGTGTAATCACACATGTGGGGTCTGGGGAGGATAGGGTGTATGTAGACCTTCCCCTTACCTCGTGGAGGCCTGAACTTAATTGCAGAAAGACTAATGAATATCATTCAACACTTTTTCTTACGTGCAGTTATGATCGCATACAACCTAACATGTGGAGTGGAGCATACCTCTGCTGGGGGAAAGAAAACAGGGAGGCACCATTGAGAGCTGCTAGCCCTCCTGGAGTTGCACACGGCCTTATAAGCAATTTTGAAATTAAAGCATTTGATGGATGTGCAAACCCATACTTGGGTCTTGCTGCTATAATTTCTGCTGGAATTGATGGTTTGCGGAGAAACTTAAGCCTTCCAGAACCAGTTGGTAAGTTAAGACATCTTTTAGTAGTTCTTTCTCTACTTCCATCTTCCATGGTAATAGTTCAGGTAGGAAAATGAAACTATTGATAGTTGAGATGTGTTCAACAAATAGATGGTGTGATAGTTCACGTAGGAAAAGGGAACTGTTGATAGTTGAGGTGTGTTTAATACATAGATGGTGATAGTTCACGTAGGAAAAGGTAACAAGTGATAGATGCTACCTTTGGATCTTGACACATCTTCTGATTTGAACCATGTGAATTTAAATCAATTCTTAATGTTTAGTGTCATTGTTTCTTCTCTTGATATGTCAAATCAAAATATCTTTGTTAAGTATTGAGCTACAATCATCCATAATATTGGGTGATTCACCTTCTATTCACTTATCTGCAAAAGGAAGAAAAAAAAAAGAATAAAGGGGAAATAGAAAGAAGTAACTTGACGAGAGGGAGTTGCTTGGATGGTAAGCACCCTCGCTCCAAGCCAAAGGTTGTGAGCTCAAGTCATAAAGGGAGCAAAAAGGATGGGAGCTCCTAGGAGATATTAAAAGAGAGAAGAAAGAAGAAACTAATGACAATTGATTCGGTTAAAAATATGACAAGGAATTCTTCTAGCTAAGTGCATGTAAGTTAGTTGAATCAGCCATTGAGTTTTCTTAGTTTGGTTAGAAACAAATAGGCAAGGATTATTCTATTTAGTTATGAGCACATACTTTTATATACTCGAAAGCACATGGCTTGCAACTTCCATGAATGTCATTAACAACAAAAATCCTTGCTAATGCTTATACTCAATGAAGTGAGTTATATAGGTTTGATAACTCAATTCCATGTTCACACTCGAAATATTTTCTCTGTTATCCATCATTCCACTTATGTTTTCTTGTGAAACAGATGGAGATCCTGATATCCTTAAAGAGAATCTTCAAAGATTACCAGTAACTCTCGCTGAATCTGTTGAAGCTTTAGAGAAAGATCCATTATTCAAAGAAATGATTGGTGAAAATCTTTTGGTTGCCATAATAGGAGTTCGCAAGGTACGTTGCTATGGATGCTTAGTGTATACGTTGGATGTGAAACTGAATCACGCCTTCATACTCGAGTTTATTGACATAAAGGATATGCTCATTCTCCTTTCTGCATAATTTTGGTATTGTTGTTATATATGAAAATCAACTGCTGAAAGTAACTAAGTACTAACAATATCAAATAGCAAAGTGGAAGAACGCGATTCGTTCTTAGTATGAAATCTGTCATTGCATGAGTAAAACAACATGCTTCAATTTGCTCTTTTTTTGCTTCTAAGTTATTAGATTAGCAATTAGCATAATGGTAAATGGAGTAACCAAAACTTTTGATAAAAGAGTACTAGTTTGACATTTAACTCTTAAAAGTCTTTTCAATTCTTCTAACAATTGTGAACATGCTGAGAATGATTTTTCTGTTTTGCAGGCTGAGGTGAAGTACTATTCTGAAAATAAGGAAGGCTACAAGGACCTCATATTTAAATATTAGGGTGTTCCGTTTTCTTCTTTAAAGCGAATTTATTCTGCTAGACAGAGTATCTAGCATTTATTTATCAAGAAAAATAAATTCCTCGAGAGGGTGAAGTATAGATGTACGAGCATCGAGGGTTTAGGCCTTACCTTACCAATCGAGACAACGGATCTCTACTTAAAGAACTGATTTTGCAGTGTCCTTTTTTAATTTCTTTCTTATAACTAATTTTGTATTGTGATCCTTGTTATAATAGATCAATAAGATATTCAAGCGGTTATAGATGTTGTAACAAAACTTCGTAATTAAATATCTCGAGAACTCTATGAAGATAGAATTAGGATTATTTAATCTTTTATATGTGTTTTACATCCTTTTTTAGGTGGAAATGAATAAATACATGCAAAAGAGTTGAGTTTTATGTATCGACGATGTGAACAAATATACAATCAGATCACTTATTTGATAATTATAGATATAACCCATAAGTCTTAAGGCTAAAAAATCTAATTATATTCAAAATTAACTTTTATTTGTCATTATACAACAAAGTAATACATCATAATGTATATCCTTAGTAAGATTTTTTTTTTTTCTAAAATCTTAATTAAGGTTTGTATCTTGTGTTATAAGAATCTAAAAAAATTAAGTATCTGATCTTCCATTAGAAATCCACTGTTGTCCATCTATAAATGAAATATCCATGTATTGATCTGCCTCGTTTTGCTTTAATTGCTTTGCATATGATACCCTATCTGTGTAATTGGCTCCTGGTCCAAAGCAATCATATTCTCCAAACAATACTGTCCTGCAAAACATTATTTCGGTCCTTTTAGTCCGTCCAAAAAAGAATAAACGTATTTCAATGTATAAAAATAATTAATTTTTTTACAATATATAGTTTATATTTCATCCTTATTATTGACATGATCTAATAGCCATAGAAATGTTATGCAATGTATAATATAAGAACATAAGTTTTAATAGGTGTATTCTTTGTTTGTTCAACTAACTAAATCTGAATTAATTGGGCTTCGTTTCGAGTTATCTCAACTTGTTAGGCACACGAAAAACCAGTCTAACATCTTTTCAATCGAAATCTTAAATGGACATGAATATCACTTGAAAAAAATATTAAAGTTTTACGATTTATTTTTTTTTACAAATTCGGAGAGAAAATTGACATAACATATACCAAACATGTTTTTTTAAGAGCATTATATCTAAACGAGTCCTTAAATTAAACTCTGTATCTAAATTTCAATATGTATTAAATACCTTCACGTAAAATGAAACAGACGGAGTGATAGTGTGATGGTTAATACTTACTGATCTTTATTTGGATCTCTCCAATCATTCCATCCATCTGATGAAATCACATGAGACATATAAGTCTTTGAGAAAATAACAGTAGCATATGCTCCCCATGCTCTGCCTAGCCATATTTTTCCAGTGCCATTTATAACACAATTTAAAAATGAAAATCCAGAATTTTCATTTTTGGAATTTCTTCCTTGTGCTGTGATTGATCCTCCTATTTCACCACTTGTTTCTTCTTTTGCTATTGAATTTATCTTGCAATCCTATCATAAATTATCGAGTCAGAATTTAAAGTTTACAAATTCTCGACCTAATATTTGAATTCATAATTATTCGTATTAGTTATTGAGTTCGGAATTAAAAGAAGAATTAACCTAAATAGTCGTTAACTTGAAGTTTATAATAGTTAGAACATGTGTTTATAATGAGTATAATCCGTGTATAAAATTACGGATTTGGACGAACCTAGTAACTTATCCTTAGACTTTTGTGTTCGTATTAAGAAAACCATCAAATATGTATAAATATTTAATTATGAATTCAGTAACTATAACCATTATGAATTAAATAATAAGTTCAGAACACACAAACTTTATATTCTGATTCTGATTGTAAATCTATGCATACCGATTAGGGTAAATAAACATTTGAATTTAGCTAATGATTTGTTTAAAAATAAAAGGCATAAATCTGTCAACGAACTTTGAGAAAAGACTTATTTATGTCATCCGTTAAAAGTTTAGCTTATTTATACTATTATTTGTTAAAATACATGGTCTAAATCAATCCAACAAAAATGATCTTTACTGGCAATAAATTTTTAATTGTCGCTAAATATGAACTTTTAGTGACAATTAACATTCTTTATATATGTTCCTAAAGCTTCTAGCGACATTGGATCTAATTAATGTCGATAAAGATTTTAACACCCTTTATTAGTATACTTATTTATTGCCGCTAAAATTTATTTTTGTTATAATGAGTAAACGCTGTATATTAGCTAGCAACATAAGTTCATTCGACACCAAAAAATAAATGAATTTAAGTTATATACACGAACGAACCGGTTAATAAATGTACCTCATAGAGTGACCTAGCACTTCCAAAAATAAAATCAATGGATCCTTGAATAAAGCATTCTTTAAAATAATGTCTTCCTTTGTCATCATTAAGTGTGTCTTGTGCTCCATAAAATCCACAACCATAAAATGCAGTTTGATCTCCACTTACTCTTACAGCCACTGCTTGTGCTCCAACATCACCTGGTGAAGCTGCTGGAGCTGTGTTCTTAAATTCAAAAAAAAAAAACATGGTTAATTAATAAATAATAATAATTGCGCCTCAATTTCAAGCAAGTTTAGATCAATTATATGAATTCTTACTGTTCCAATTTAATATTAGTTACAAATAATATTACTTTCGTCCACTTTTAGTTATCATAGTTTCTTTTTTTTTTAGAATTATCATAGTTTCTTTTTTTTTTTAGAGTCAAATGAATGAATGATAATAACTTTGAGTAACATTTTACGATATATTCTTTTATCATATTGATATGCAAAAAATTGGAATTCATAGTACTTTTCGTATAGTTTTTGAATATCTAAATTTTTATTTAAAATATCTAATTAATGTAATTTAATTTAATTTTAAAATTAATTAAATTGACTCTCGAAAAATATTACATGATAACCACGTCTCTGCTAGGCAGCGTGTGGAATGGCCGAGAGCAGACCTTTTGGATATATAATCCAAGTCGGGTTTGATTGTGTCGTAGCTCTATAATTCGGATTAAGTTTATCGTTGGATGAACTACGTTGCTGATATTGAACCAAAAAAAAGACGGTAGATACAGCTATATATATATATATAAACATGCATTAATTAGTCACAGACAAAATTACATAGCTTATCATATAAATATTGTTAAAAAATTATGTCAGTTACGAGCTATTTAACGATTGATCAACGCTAAATTTAAGGGAGTAGCTTTTTATGTATATAAATAGTAATAGTAGCATATATTGGATCTACTAATATTACTAATCAAAAATTTATCTCCAATTAATTGATTATGAGAAAAAAAAATGTAAAAATTATATGATTGGTCATATTATGAAAATAAAATAAAATAAAATAAGTATATACCTGAAAGCTGATATTATAGGCTATAAAATTGGGAGCATAAATAGCAATAGTAAAACTATTAGCAGTTCCACCAGTAGAATTTGCAGTATCATTCCATGCTATAGCAGTATTTTGATAACCTTGACCTTCTATTATTAAATTTATTTTGCTAGAGTTTATTACCACTTTCTCCCTGCAAGAATTAATAGCATTGTAAGAATCCAATTAATTAAAATTATAATTCTAAGAGTTAAATATAAAGATACACAACAAAAACAACATTTAACAGTAAATAAACGTGCACTTTTAATTTACCAACATTAGTTTATTATTATTAGATCCAATATTGCTATAGACTTTAGCGATATTTACAAAGAGTATGAGTTGTCTCTAAAAGAACATAAGCGACAACTAGTTTATTATCATTAATTATTTACGATAAAAAATAACTTTTGATGACAAGTAATTTGTCATAAAAAAAAATGAGTTTGTAACCAAAAAAATAAAAATAAAGTTATCTATCACAACAAATTTCTTTATATTGGTAGTTGAATTTCCTTACAAACTCTAATTGAATACAATTTGTATACACCAAATGGTATATAAAACGAATTCATACAATTTGTATACACCACGTGGTATATAAAACGAATTCATGATTTAAATTTGATAAGTTCAATATTTAAGATTCTTATTACCAAACTCATTGTATTTTTAAAATTGTATTGTTGAGATTTTAAGAGGCTCTATATATATATTCATATTGTGCCCGAAAGTTTTGGGTTCAGATGAACTCGTTTGACGATGTAAAGACTCCATCACTGTATATCAGGTCGTTCAAAAGATACGTCTACCGATTCCACCCTAAAAAGTGGGATCTAAGATCTTAAAATAAGGTTGATTACTTGCCACAATTAGTCAAATTAATATGATATAGTAAAAATTATTTATATTATCAATGTATATGAGTTAAACTCCGGTCAATATATATGTATATATATAAAAAGGAAAAATAAGCAAAATAAGAAATAAAAAATAGTTACTTGTATGTGCCTGAATCAACTAGAATAAGTGTTGTAGTAGAGCTATCATCAGGAACAGAATCTACAGCCTTTTGTATACTGCTGAAATTTCCACAACCATTTAAATCAACTGTTAAAACATGAGAAACTCCATATAATGATATAAGTTTTGAGTTCCATTTGGAATTTTCACATTTTGAACTTTGCAATAATAATAATGATCTTGTAATTTCATCAAACACAAAAAAGAAATCTTGTATACCACTTTTTTCTATGACACTTTTTAGAAAATTAGCATTATTTGTTTGGTAATTGGAATATAGAGGGAAAATGATGGAAGATAGTAAAATGGTAAAGGAAATGAACCAAAAAAAAATTGTCCTTGTAGTTGTGTTATTCATAGTTTAGTGTGTGTTTTGATTTGATGTGTTGTTTTGGTTGAACTTTTTTTTTATGGTGGTTTTAAAGAGTTCAAATGTGTGATATAATATGAAAGCATGGAGATTTTTTTTTATTTGTTGACGTAGGAAGTAAGAAAAGTGTGGACAAAGGGTCATTGGTCATGATTCAAATTTTTTTTGTTTAATTATTACTCATTGTTCGGTATTTGTATTGGGACTGGACTAATTTTGAGTTCGTGTCGAATGGTATCATATTGAAGGTAAATGTTTCTTTACAAAAGATGATTTTATATATACCTAAAGATTGAATAACATGAGACTTCTGGTTGAAGATGAAGAACTATTTACCATTTCATCGTAGTTTTTTATTAGTCAAGATTATGATTATCGATGACAATATAATTTTAGTGATGAAGAAAAAGATTGAAAGATAATGGTGGAATTAAATTATGGGTAGCAAGAAAAAGTGGATATTAGATAATGGACACGCCAAGACACTATGTAATAAAAATGTATTTAATTTAGTAACCTTTTTCAATTAAGTTTCAAAGATATATTTATAAAGTATTTTACACTAATTAATCACTTCAAACGTAATAATACGCCATTGAGGAGTCATCTTTGTTTAGGAGACAATATACACTCACTCATCGAAAAATTACACGGCTTAGATTAGATCAAAAGAATGAGAGAGTATTAACATGTTAGTTAAAATAGGTTATTTATATAGTATGTTGAAAATATATACTAATTACGTTTTAAAAAAAAAGTGATGCTGCTGATATATATTATTAGTTAATTATTTTTAAAAATAAATTAAGTGTGAATTCATAATTTTACTTAGATGCATGCTTATATGGCAGATTTTGACTTTTCAGAGTGAAGGGTTGCCCTTGACCTTGTTTTCGATAAATCCTCGTCTCTAATAAAGGAAAAGAAATACAATAGTTCAAGAATCATATAGAAAATAATGGTTATTATTATTAATTTGCGAATACCTGAGATGCTTCTTCATTTGTGATCTTATATTTGCTTAAAGTATAGCGATATTGCTTTTGCAGGACGTAATTTTACCTTCTCATATTAATAATAACAATTTCAAAGCTCTTGAGGAAGAAATATGGAGTTTGATTAGCATAAACGTTGATTCAAAGGCTTGTGATAATGAAATATTGAAAGTATCAATCAGGTCGTAACCCCATAAAATCCAAAAAAAGAAAGAAAAAAAAACCTTAGTTATCGTACACTCTCCGCAAGCTTTGATGCCCCTAACTCCCAAGAAGTTGCTGGTCGGGATCGTGGAACTGTCGCTCGAGAAGTAAGAAGCTGATCCTTGTTGTCACGCTTCAAAGTTCAATACGATGTTTTGGAGAAAAATAGAAAACGAAGTTCCGAGTAAACACGGGGAGAGGAGCAAAAAATCAAACTCAAGATATGCTCGAGTTGTAGAACATTTTTTACACAAATATAATCCTCTACATCTCATTTGTAATAGTTACTACTAACAACTACTTGCCCTTTGTGATAAATAAGATGAGAAATATACATGTAATTTGAAAAAAATGGATTTACAAATGGGATTTAACTACTCATCTGGAACATCAGTTTCACCTTCCCCTTGTTTAATGATTCTACATTTAGGAACCATTTTTTCCAGCATAGATGTGCCTTTAAAGCTAATCATTTGCCAACAAGTTTTTCTGTAGCTGACAAGCTGCAAATAATACAAAATGCTTAGCGATCGAAGGGAGGATATGATGCACCAGCATGATAACATGCGAAAAAACAAACCTGCTCTGGTGTTAACTCCTCAAATCCAAATTTCTTAGTCCAAATCGACATAGCTTCAACAGCAGCTGGGAGTACAAAGCGTCTCACGCCCAAAAATGCAAGCAATTTTTCTATGCAGGAGAACAGCAACTGAAAGTATCCCTGTGAACATTGAAATTATCTTTTATAAGATGCATTTTTAATAAGAAAGCTTCTACTAAACGTAATAAAATGTTTTTTTTTTTTGTATCTGATACAACCCAGGGAGGACAACAGGACCACACCCCAAAAGAACTATTGAGGTGGGAGAGCCCAAGATTATACAAGCCCCAGATCAGCTTCCCATTAACCGATGTCGGACTACCGTCCCATACCATGCAATAGGGTTATAACAAATCACCACACTCTGCATTCGTTGTCCTCGACAGCAGTGCGCTAGACCATTTCTAGCCCTGGGCTAACACTGCAAATACCGGTATCACCATCCATGGCATGACAGACACGAAGGGCAGTGGGTAGCTCTTTAAATGAGTCTTAGCAGGTAATTACAATTAGGGGTGGCAAACGGTCGGATTGGATTGATTTTGCATGGGTTGAATATGGTTTAAGAAAAAATGGGTTGGATCATATTGAACCCATTTTGACCATATTTGAAGAGACTTTTAAAATAGCTTGAAGCCCATATTTGACCAATTATAATATGAGCGATCCAAGTCATTATATATGGTCAAAATGGGCTCATTTTATTAACATGGGTTGAAATTGCCACCCCTAGTTACAATATTAGATTCCACAAAATTGTTGATTCCTTTGTCAAAGCCTCATTTCTTATTCTATACATCACTTTAAAGTAGAAATAAAAAAAGGAACATCTGTTCAAAACGAAAAAGTATAAAGCTAAAGAACAGGCCAACAATCCAGCCAAAGGTTACAGTCTCGCAGTGGTCAGCAATTGTTGAGGTCGACTTGTTCAAACTGCATCTACCATTTATTCAAGTTCTTAAAAAATACAGCATTGCTAATAAATGACCAAGCAATAAAAGTTGTCTTGCTTCCTGTCGGAAAGCTGTTCATAGATTATGCAACTCTTCTACCAAAAGGCCTAAATGCATATAAATATAAGGCAATACCCTTCTGAATTTGACCCGTGATTAACTGGCTTTGGAAGATGTAATTCTAGCGGAAGTATAGCAAAAAATAAGCAAAGCAGCGAAACATAAAACAAAAAGACATGACAGCAGAAACATCCTGAGAGTAGTTTTGTTGCTATACCTTGCCTTGGCTACCAACACGGGTTGCCACAAGAGGGAGTTCTGCCATATCCTGGCCAAAAATCCGGAGGATCCCTGCTGATATTACTGTTGAGCTGCAGTCATCAGTCAAAGAACTTCTTAAGTTATTTGATCATAATAGATTTAAACTATCAAAAGAATTAAAAGAACATACTGCAATACTTACTTTACAGTCAATATAGCGCAATACATGCCCCCAAAGTCTTGGCCCCTAATATTCCTTCTGCAGGAAGTTAGAGAAGGTGTAAAGAAAAAAACCTCATGATTAGACAAATCATGAAACTAAATGGAAAAACCAACACTGAATAACAAGGAGAACAAAGCCTACCCATAAACCATAGAAGGAATGAAGTCACGTCCAGTTACTGAATCAACAATAGGATCGAAACCATCCTGAGAAGTCAACAATGAAAACCTTGATGATAACATTTTTCCTCAAAGCTGATACATGCAATGAAATATATAATCTAGAAATTCTTGAAAGACACTTCCACAGGAAATTGAGAAAATACATGTAATGAATGTCATCTTATTAATGAGGGTAGAATGAAAAGTAATAGCCAATCATATCAATTAAATAGTAAATCATCTGAAACTCCACAAACAAAAAGCCGGTTTTGATGATATAGGAAATATCAGAACAGCAAATTCAAATGACATGCAGATATAACATCATGACATGCTTTCCTGCATTAGCAATTCTGGATGTGCACAGAAGCGCAACAGCAACAATTCGAATATGTTCATACCATTCACAAAACAGTCACAGAATGACAAAAGGCACTGACACAAAAAAGAGCATGAGATATATATTTGCCAACCAACCCCAACCCCATAATATCAAGTGGAGAGCAAGCTTTTGGTGATCATCGAAATAAATGATCAGGGATAATGCTTACATGGAAGATAGAAACAGCTTCTGCCAGTAGCCTTCTGGTTTCACGGGAGGAAATTCTGCCACTAAGAAGCCTCCATCTAACATCAAGTTCACCAACAGCAACCAAACTGTTATGTTTTTCCTTAACTCTTCCTGCATCCAAACAAGAATCAGGCAACCTCTCTTCTCCTGAGTTAAGCAAATTTTGCAGGGCACAATAGATCCTCTTGCAATCCACACTACAGAACCATTTTCCTTTAGGCAATTCCTGTGATGCAACAAACATTAGCTTTTAATGCTAAAAGTCTCAACCCACTCTCCAACCAAACCGAAAATAATAATTAAAAATATATATTAATAAAGGAAAGCGAAAGCAAGTACATAGGTCTAAGAAAAGAACCAATTCATGAAATAATCTTAAAATGCAAATGCATGCACCTTTAAATCTGCTATCTTGCTTTTCTTCAAGCAGCCAACATGATACTCTTTCTCGCACTGAAAAATAAATGATGGATAAAGCATTTCAGTTCATATATTTAGTTGAATAAGACACAGATATAAGGAATGAAGAGGAAAACCTGGTCACAAAGAATGACAGTCCGTGGACCAAAACCAGACTTGCTAAAGTCATAAGCTCTGTAGACAGAAAAGATAAGACATACTGGATCAAACTGACAAACCTAAGATGCTCAGCAACAATGTGCTCTTAGCCAAACAAAAAATACTACCTGCATAAAACACATGCAATAAATTCTGCCTCTTCTGCATTCTTGACAAAACGAATGCAACGGTTTGTTATTTGCTCAATAGGATCAATGCCGGAGATCCTGCCGGCTGCTAAGGCATTCGTATTGCGCTCCGCAAACTTCTCCCTCTGTAACATGCTTTCACAATACTTGCAGTACCATTTACCACGAGGGATAGTTGATAATGATGCACACTCTGCATAGACCATTGGAATTACACATCAAATGCTTATCGATGAAACATGATATCATGACCAGCACCAGCAAGCAACAGGCCAACATCAACTAAATGGTGTAAATGTGATATCAAGCAGAACAAACTGAAAATTTAAATTTACCATTACAAAGTAAGTGCAGTAAAAAACACATTGATGGCTATATATCGTTCATACCAAAGGTGGTTAATTATATCAGTCGACAAGAAACTTAACAGAAGATAATTATCTTCCAGACCCATTTCATAGTGGTGCATAGATCTGATTGAAGGCTCAACTCTTATTTCATAAACAGCAAAGCCAATTCCTCTATATGCTCTAAAAAGAACAAAGATTTAAAGACATGGACAGATGAAGGGTAGGGGAAAGAAGAAGGGTTGCAAACAGCTCCAATTTCTTGTGTTGACTGGACACCGGCCCAAGGATGCATAGTCAACCTCTGCCATATTTGTTCTATTCCTTCAGCTGCATCGGTCCCATTTTATATAACACACTTCCCTTCACTATGTCCCAAAAAAAACTTCCTGTGTTGACTGGACACCAGCCCAAGGATGCATAGTCAACCTCTGCCATATTTGTTCTATTCCATCAGCTGCATCGGTCCCATTCTATATAACACGCTTCCCTTCACTATGTCCCAAAAAAATTGAGCACATCCTCATTTCACCCTTATGACTAGACTAGTCAGGCGCTTTTGGTACTTTGCATATATTTTTTGGCATGAACTACGGGGGGAAATAAGGGAAGGTTATAAACTTTGCAAATATTTGATCAGGTCTTCTTTGATTTCTTTAATTTCTTAAACTCTGTGCGAAGTCAAACACTATCACAAGATTAAGGCAGCAGGAGGAATATGTACTAAATTACAATTAGCTGAAAATAGCTAATGCAAACTGGACTAACCAAAGAAGATGAAGGTACAAATTTCAAGTTAACCAACTAGGTGCTGGTTCAGCATGTTTTGAGATCTTACAGTTTGACAGGTTCAGAAACTAAAGTAGTTCCAATTTAAAAAGTCCAGAAAAAATAACATAAAAATATTATGTACAGGTTCATTGTCAGTCAATAGAACTCACTCCACGTAACAAATCCTTGATTATTATATTTGTTTTTATCATAGTGTTAATTAAATTCACAATTACGAGCTATTTCCTGAACTCACCTAGTGTCCCCATCCTTAAATCAGCTACAATAAATTAGGTTCTTATTCACTTATTCCTATCTTACCTCCATTCAACACAAGCACCCTCACCTCAGAAAACCCAAGAAAGGGAAGAAAGGAAAGCAATATGATGCATTGATGATCAAACAGAACATGGTGAACTCAATCATCATTCACCAGGGAAAAAGAAGAGAAGAAGAAAGTATCTTGT